GTTAACTACTCTAAAAGTGTTCAACAATTAAATTTCAAAAAACATAACATGTGATTGTGATGAAGAATAAAAAAGAAAGCAGAATGAATTGAAAGAAGATGTATGAAGAAAGTGTTACTATGAAGAAAAAAAACTAAATTCAAGAAAATTATTATAAAATTTATATTCAACTTCAAGAAGATTTAACCAAGAACGGTAAGTGATTCCTTGAATGTAAACAAAATTCACCAGTACAAAATACAGTCCACTTATTCAGAAATTAAAACTATTTTTACTACTATTTTATCCATTAGGCTAACTCATTCTATAAACAATTATAAAAATTTCATGACAGACCAACTTTTCTATAAAAAAGGAACGTAGATGTGTGAGCCAGTGACAGAATGCGCTAGTGTCTAAAATTATATTTATAACTTATTTTTTGTTGCTGACCAGATTGATTATGGGTCATAACAGTTGCTCTATAACTCATCATAAGTTATTCCTTATGTTTGACTGAAGTTTGTGTATTTGACTTAAATTTGACAGAATTTAGTAATTTAGATCAATGTAATCTGTACGAGGCTCACGTCAACTACGATAAAATATCAAAGATCTGGCTACAAATTTTAACATGGTGATGGAATGTCTAGTTGTATTAATAGTCAAAGCTACAACCCATTAAATCAATCCCAATATTATATCGGTACATGACATTGCTTACATTCGAAGTATACAACACTGAGTTTACACACACAGAGCTGACGTTAATCCCTAGGGACTTAAAGTGAATTTTAACTCCTTTTAGCGAATTTCCCTATAGGGAAGTAGCTATTACCGTAGGTGGCACGGTAAGACCTGGGACCGATTTACTTGTTCATTTTGATGTCCCCAGAGCCCAAAAACACCATTCGTTCAAATTCATATATGAATATATGCTGCAAGCATTTTTGAAATTGTTATTTTGTTGTGTTTAACACACTATTTTAATGGCACAACAACTGCCTGTGTGTAATATTAATCATCAACTCGGTTCACTACAACCTACACTTTACCTTCCTAATCTAACCTAACTTCAAAACACTTAATACAGTCAGGAATCCGCATAAGCCCGACTTGCCTTCCACACATGCCTAAATAAAATCATTCTGAAATAAGTTATTCAGTGACGTGTTGTTTCTTATATGTTTGTAGCACATGTACTTTGAATGTCTTGATTGACTTGTTTTTATTCTCTTCTCTTCAATTTCGTATTTCCATTTTCATTACATTTCTCAGGTTCAGTAAAGTTCTACAAGTAACAGATAGTCCGTTCAGTAATTCCGTAATGCGGCAAGCAGTAGCAGACTAGAATAGAAGGTAGATAAAGGAAATCAAAACGACAAATTATTTTAAGTTACCTTAGTTAATATTCGTGGCCTCGGGGACATTTTTCACTGTTATTTCGGTAAAAAGTGAGTCTTCTAATTTAATTACTTATAATTAACGTAATATATCAAGTATCTGGAGAGAACATTTCATAGGTTTACAAATAGGTTAGGTCAAAAAAACATAGTACCGGTGAATAAAACTTAAAACAGCCGTAACTCCGTTAATATTTGAGAGCGCGGAAAAATTTTTGCACATTTTCAGCTAAAAATCTAGTTTCTAGTGATATATAAATCTATATAGGTTCCCATGGTCACGTTCGTCGCAATAAATACCGGTTTGAATTTAAAAAATTAGTCTGTCATAACCTAACCAAACCAACTTAACTTGCTGATAATGAAAAAATCCAAGACAAAAAAATAGTGTGCTACGGGTATGATTCGAACCCGGCTCCTTCAGTTTAACAGCCCGGCACTCTTTCTTTACACTATACCACCAATGCCAATGACATCAGCCGTATCGTTGCGGTAATGGTGTTCCCTCAGCCAATCAGAAGCCTCCTAGTCCAGTCAATGAATGCTCAAAAGGGGGGTGTAGAGGACATGGAGAGGGGGAAATTTTTTTTCTGCGGGAATGTGTTCGGGGTAGTTAGAAGATAAAAATACCAAAAGTCCCCGCCCCTGGCCCTGCTGCTTCAGCGGGGCTAGGGGAGGAAAGACCCCATTTTTTAGTTTTTTACTTCTACACTGAAAACCGTTCATCGTACGGAAAAAATGTAAATTATAAAAAGAAAGATGGTGAAATTCTCTACAAGAATGGTCATATTCATTTCTTCCGTATATGCATTGGTTTAAAAGATATTCTCAAAATAATATAAAAATTCTTAAATAAATTGATTTTCACGCGTTTTTTGTCAAATAAGTTTATATAATCCATTAGCCTGTTGTTGTTTCACATCAATCAGGATAGAAAACAGGTTTTCGAACACTAACCTATATAATATAATATATCAATCGTATATATTGTGTTAAAAATAGTTTATATAAATTTAAATAAGTATGTATATTTGTCATGGAAACAAGTAATTTTGGCATAATTATTACACTAAAAATTTAAAAGATTGTGTTTGTAGCTATATTTGTCCAGGTTTATTTATAACAATTACCGAAACCAATATTATTGTTCATGGTCTGGCTCACTTGGGACGAGAGGGTCCGACTTCTGTCCCAAAAACTGGTGCCATCTGGAACTGAAAACCACCATCTGATCTAGGACATCTCCATCATTCAATTCTTGTTTATTAGACTCAATATTGGCTATCGAAGTGAGAATTCGGTGTAGGCCTGTATATTCTTCATCTTCCTCATTCATCAGAATGGGCATTTCATGTAAAAAGTTCCCTTAGCAGTTCTGGCATAACGGAGAACAATTATTTGACATTTTCTTGCATGCACAAGTTGCACATCTGGCACTGTTATAATCTTTAGTACATTTGCAAAATACTTAAACCACCGGAGGCCCCCCCGGAAATTAAATCCTGGGACCACCACTACTACTTTTGTTTTATTACTCTGAGCTACTACTGACTTTTTTCAATCTGTAGCGTCTTTCTTGGTCTGCCATCTTTGTGTTGTTTTCTGCTATATCCGTCAAAAACAACAATGCATTACCTTACAAGGTAATAGGTATCCACGTACCTCACTTATCCATCACATATCGCACTCAAGATCCCCTTTGCCAAATAACCTTATGCGTGAGAATCGTTAACAATCCTTTAAATCTTGATAACTTTTTTAACTTATACAAATCCACAGAAAGAATATACAGGCCTACACCGAATTCTCACTTCGATAGCCAATATTGAGTCTAATAAACAAGAATTGAATGATGGAGATGTCCTAGATGGTGGTTTTCAGTTCCAGATGGCACCAGTTTTTGGGACAGAAGTCGGACCCTCTCGTTCCAAGTGAGCCAGACCATGAACAATAATATTGGTTTCGGTATTTGTTATGAATAAACCTGGACAAATATAGCTACAAACATAATCTTTTTAATTTTTAGTGTAATAATTATGCCAAAATTACTTGTTTCCTTGACAAAATATACATGACTTATTTAAATTTATATAAACTATTTTTAACACAATATATACGATTGATATATTATATTATATAGGTTAGTGTTCGAAAACCTGTTTTCTATCCTGATTGATGTGAAACAACAACAGGCTAATGGATTATACAAACTTATTTGATAAAAAACGTGTGAAAAATTAATTTATTTAAGAATTTTTATATTAAATTGAGAATATCTTTTAAACCAATGCATATACGGAAGAAATGAATATGACCATTCTTGTAGAGAATTTCATCATCTTTCTTTTTATAATTTACATTTTTTCCGTACGATGAACGGTTTTCAGTGTAGAAGTAAAAAACTAAAAAATGGGGTCTTTCCCCCCCTCCCACCGCTGAAGCAGCAGGGCCAGGGGTGGGGACTTTTGGTATTTTTATCTTCTAACTACCCCGAACACATTCCCGCAGAAAAAAAATTTCCCCCTCTCCATGTCCTCTACAATCCCTTTATTGACTGGACTATCCATAAATATCCAAATAACAAAATAACAACTAACACTGTTTGCAAAACTAATCCTGGAATAAAAATTCAGCGTACGGCAGTAGGTGAATGAAATAAAGCACCGAGCGAATGAGCTGGTAGATTTTTCTAGTTGAGAACCAAAATAACAAAATTTTACAGCGTTTCAACTTTTTCTCTAGCAAAGGTGCAGATTCCGTGTGTGTGTGATAGTGCTGCCTCCGGTGGTAATTAGTACCGAATGTTTTCTGAGCTCCGGTACAACGGTAGAATTTATATAATATATTTTATAGCTCAGTGGCATGGCAGACTAGTAGAGCAAAAAGCGGTGGGCAATGGGTGGGCGGCAGAGACAAATAGAGTTAAATTTAGGTAATTTTATCATCGACTTGCTTGTTTTAATGATAATACAACAAATGTGTGTAGGCCTACGATAATTTCGCCCCAAATACGATAGTTTGGAACTGCTTGTTTGTACGATGGTTAACTAAAGGTCGATTCACACATATCAGTTCAGTCACAGTTCCGTTACAGTCCAGTAACAGTTCAGTCTCAGTTGCATCCGCAATTTCTCAGTCAATAGTCCGTCAGTTTGTTTCAGTCAGTCTTCCGTCTCTAAAATTCACAGTAATTTACAGTCAAAAGTTTTAAATTATAAACCTATATTCTATCAAGTTTTCATTGTCCATCTTGTTGATTGTTACAAACAGTACTCAAAATATAAACACAACCATTTAAACAACAATAACACTATTTTCTAACCTTAAACCGGTCCGTCAGTCGTCCGAACAATCCAAAAGTATCGGTGGAAAGAAATCTGAAATTATCTGACGGATGCCGGTAGAGCGACTGACGGGACTGCAACGGATAAGTGTAGATAGCGCAATAGAAAATCCATAAAAGAATATTTTTGTTAACTGTGACGTGCCTGAAGTGACTGGACTGTGACGTTCCGTAACTGATGTGTGTGAATCGACCTTTACGCCGGTCAATCTGGCAACTGGCAAGTGGCAACACTGCATTAGTAAAAAAATTTCGAAGTCTGTTTTGTGTTTTGTGTTTGTCTGTTGTGATTTTTTGGATTTTTTCTATAATTAGTTTCTTTCGATATATTTGTATAGCTTGCACTTGCAATGATTTGATCAAGTCAAAGCGTGAAAATAAATTATTGCTGCATCACAACTAAAAAAGTATATAAATAGTAAGTTTAGTTTAAGAAAGTTGTGAAAACACTTACCATAACCTCAAACGTAAACAAAACGACAATTTTCTACTTTTTCCCTTTAACTTACATTTTTTTATCTGAACTTTTCCCCCCAAAATCTAGTTATACTTATTGTGTAATCTAAACTTAATGGTAATTTTCCTTTTTGTACTGAATTGTATTTTCTTTGTAAATTGTACTGCCCTACAGGCTTGGCTCGCGCATAGGCCTACACATGGTAATAATAACTTAAGTAGCCTAGGCTCTATATTATTTTGATTATGATGACTTTTTTTGTTTACATTTATTTTCGCTGTTGTTTTAATGTAAACCATCTAACCATCATGGCAGCCCATTCTTGAGGACAATGTTTAGTTTTCAAAACTTTTAAAGTACCGTACTGGTAATGAGTTGTATGTGGTTGTAGGCTACCTAATGAGTTTAATAGTAAAACACGATCGATGAGAGAATTGTATACAATTTTTGATTGTTTCTACATGTTCGCATTTTACTAGGCCTAGGCCTATCACTCACAGCATCCATCACAGCTACAATTCCGTCTTAACTTAGCCTACTCAACTTAAAACTTTCCCATTTTGACATAGGCCTACTTACCAGTGAGTGAAGTGAAGGACTGAAGGTGTCAACAACTTTGAATGGTCAGAATACTTAATGAAGAGTGAGTACTATTCTACCTTACATACCTTAGGTACTTAGGCCTACTGTATCATTTAAGGTTGGTGTGAGTGAAACGATTTACTTAGACAGGGTTCTAACGTTAGAATTCTGGCCTATAAGTTTAAATATCTTTGATTGGACATTCCTCCCAGTTCCACCTATATCGAGCTGACACCACAGTAGGGTAGGGAAGGCCTATGTAATGAAAGGGGTCAAGTATTGTGAACAGGAAGTTCGGTGACCTACTGAAGGCTGTTGCTTTAAGTAGGCAAGTGCACTTTTTTTTATCTGGGGGTCAGTTTTGTGTGTAGTGCACCGGAGAACAGGTAGGCCTACTGTAACAATGTTAACACGTTGAGTGCTGACAACCTAAAACGGACGCTTGCCAACGGCCGGCGAAGCTCCGGCGCACAACCGAATCAGCTGACGCAATTGGCATTCAAATAGGCTTTTTAAAATTGACAAATCTCAAAAAACCAGCGGTGATTGTGCTGTGTTACCCCGAGAGTAGACATAGTTCACTAAAACACCCAAAGGTAGCAGCACTGCCTGGATCCGTAGCCAGTGTCTTTAATGTGGGTGGAAGAGAGAAAATCTCCGAAACTGGGACAAAAGCATTGCCATACGGGATTTAACAGGAACTTTAGTACCAACCTACACCAAAATAAAGCTCTCACATTCTAAGTTACAGGCTGGCAACGATTCGGCTATAATGTTCCCCGGCAATGGCTGAGTTCATACTGACTCAATGTATTTTAGGTGGTCGGCCGCACCTGGAAGTGCTAGTGACGCCGACTTTTTTGGCACAAGCAGTCAACTTGTTAAAAGGTTTTAAAAATTGGGGTTTAAAGAGTCTTTTCTAAATTGGGGTTTTGGTTTCTAGTTTGATGATTTATACAGTTCCGAGTAGGCCTATTTAACTTACTCTACCTTTTTGATTGTTACTTTTCTTTGTGTTCTTTGTATTGTTTTGAGTACCTAATATTAAAGGGGTTTTTGAGCAAGTGCTGAGTCTTATTCATGAGCTAACTTACGTCACCCAAAGAAACAGTGGGTACCTCCAGTAGTGAGGTACCGAGGTACCTACTGTTACACCTAACTATCGATTCCCGTAATTTTTTACTGAAGCAGTCAGTATCCAATCCATCAACCTGCTTCTTTGGAAAGAAATTGATAAATTTTATGTTTTTGAGGTGAAAAATTGGAAAAACCTATTTTTACCCCATAAACCGCTCGGCCCGTATCCGATCGGATACGCCCACAGTGAACGTGTTAAATAACAATAATCAACCAAAAGTGAACAATTCTTTTATCTTTAGGTTACTCCAAAGGATGACAAAGCATATTTTTTGAGGCCAGAGGGGAGGTGGTTGTACAGCTTTGGGCCGAAGTATAAGAAGCTTCTCCTTCCAAACTCAAGCCTCAATCTTGGAAAGTGAAGCTGGAGACTTCCATGGCGGGTACTGCGCTGAGAGACCTCCTCTCAGAATGAGAGCCTCTCAAGAAGGTGCTGTGGCTCCTGTAGGACAAGAGCCTTGTGCACCATGCAGCACGTCATGATCCTGCAAGCAGTATCTACTAATGTCATACCTGCTACAGTTCTGAATTGAGAGATATGTTCAAATTTGTTGAGGCAAAAAATGAAGCGAATAGCAGAATTTTGCAGTTTTTATATTCGGTTCATATATTTTACAGATATGCTGTTTCAATAAGCAGGGAGACAATATCTAAACACCAACAGGACTAGTGACTGCATGAGGCACAGCTTCGCAGATTCTGGCAGCAGACTTCTGAACCTGTACAGCCCTCTCAGCCTTCCTAACGCGCGCTGCGAAGCATGTGTAACAATGTCAGAGATGGTGAGTCTGCTGTCAATGACAACACCAAGAGTCTTTGACTTGTCACACAAAGCCAAAGATTACCCGTTAAGCACAACACTCACTCCGCTCGGGCGCTGAGAGAATGCACAAAGTCGCGTGGCGCCGTATCTACCTGAGTACACTTGTCAGTTGCTGTGTTCAACCAACTGTTTCCTTATCATATGACTTTGTTTACATTAATTTTGTTTTGTTTCTTTGATAAAAAGCTAACTTAAAAGAATTTGGTACATTATAACTGATGGTTCATTGAATCAAAGGCCTTTGAATAGTCCAGCATCACTAGAGATCTATACCCTTGTCTTTGGCTCGAATCATATCACTAAATAAGTTCGTCAGGGCTCTACTTGTGCTGTGGTTAGGTCTAAATCTACACTGAAGTTTGGGTAATATGTTTTGTGAGTTTATGTAGCTGTGCTCACTTATTGACGAATAGCTATCTTCTCTAATATCTTTGACGTGGCTGGTAATATTGAGATTGGCCTTAGGCCTTACTTTTCTTGCAGCTGTAAGTTTGGGTAATGGCCGGATAATACTCATTTTCCAGGACTTAAGAAATTGTCCATTGTCTAGTGATAGATATATTTATCAGATGGGTAATTGATTTTATCACACAAGGACTGACAGTTTTTATAATTTCAATTGAAATTTCATCGATGACCACTGCTTTTGATTTGATCTCTAGCATAATATAAAGTTTTGGTAAAAAATGATTCTGAAAATGTGACACATCATTGTACAAAGCTGTGCTTACCAGGATTAAAAATTTTCAATTAGAACGGAAAAATCTTTTTAGCGGTTTTGAAAATACAGGGTACGGTATTACTACTTCAGTTAGTGAAAAATTCCCAAAAATGTTTGCCATTTTGAAATGAATTGACTAATTGAGATAATTGAGTTGGTTTCACCAAAGTATTTCTCTAAGCAAGACCTTTCTAAATATATACACTGAGATATAGGTTGGCATTTAAGGAAACTTCAAAACCGTGACCTTCATTTCTGGAACACCCTGTGCTTGGATCATGTTCCAAGTATTAGAAATGAACTCTTCGTATGTGATTTTGGGGGAATAATTTTATTTTGCGTTTCTAGGTAAAAACTTATACCTGTTAAGGAGTAAAAGTATTTGTAGGGGTGGTCTGCTTCAATCTATATAAGTTATACAGTAACTTATGTAGATTCAGTACAAGTTAAACAATCTTTTAAGAAATGTCAAATAAATTGTTCAAAAATTAAAACTTGAAATGTCAAACTCACAAGACAAAGCTAACTAGACGTTTGCCCTGTCAGCTGTTGACCGACGAGTTACAAGGACTGTCGAGTTAGTGAGGTTTTACTGTGTAGCCTTAGCCTATTATTAATTAAGCATTTACTGTCAAGGTACCCTGACAACAACAGTAGGCAAATATGCCCTAGTTTAATTCCGGCTGAACTAACTTAGGATATAAAGTTATCAATAAAACTATACTTTCTATTCCAATCCAACCATATTTTTCTTAAATTTTAAAACTGTTTGATTACAGAAAGAGCATTTGAGGAAGATAGTCACACGCTTTTTGCAGAATCGTGAGCCGTATCAAGTCTTTAGTTTGGATGAGGTAAGCTGAAGGTTAGGGTATAAAGAGCTGAGATGTTGATTTATGTTAAGTTTCCCCTGGAATGTTTTTTATATTTTTACAACCGGAAGGTTGGTATATTCCTTGGATAACACGGACTCACTCAGGGAAGTCTACTCAAGTGCACTATTCACAGAAACTGTTTTGCATCTGAAAGCAAAATGAAGGAACATACATTTTCATTGGACATTCATATAGGAGGGCGATCTTATAAGCGAACTACGTATGCGGAAAATCGTTATCATCCAAAAGATGCAAGTTATTAAGGATTAAGGGTATTTATTGGTGCCTATAGGTGCTTCTCAAAAATTTTTAAATTTTTAATCTTTATAGTTTTTAACTCCTGAATCCAAACCATTATTTTTTGCCGCAGAAGAATACTGAAGATATCGCCGTTCAAATATAAAACGTTTGAATAAACAAGGTAGGATGGATGACCAGTTTACTAACTAACTCTAAATCTGCCATCGGCAATGCTGAGTAGGCCTTAAGACGTTACTACAACTAGAATACCAAAACCAATATTGTGCTGCTAGTCGCTAAGTTCAGATTAAGTGAAGAGAGTAACATAAATGATGAGAAGAATAACATCGTTGATTGATTACAAAATTATCGTTGACAAGGGAATTTCGTCACATTATGAAGATATAGATGGATTGTCGGACAAATTACATGAAGTTCTTATTTATTTTCTTACTTCAAAAGGAGTTCGCTAACATTCTAGAGGTTTTGTTCGGTTAGGTTATTCTAGAACAGCACCATTTTATTGTGTAATTCCTAATCGGTAAAATATAAATCATTAATAAGAATAACATAAGTTACCTGAAACAAAAATAAATTAGGTACCGGTAGCTACATTAAATGTTAACTGTGTTAACTTATTGGTCTTTTTTTTGGGCGGCGGTGCAAGGCGTTGTAGACCACAAATAAGAAGAAAATGACAAAATTGCTACAGAATTCATAAAAGGCAAGGATTAACAACCAAATATTGGGCGTTCGGCTTCGGCATGTACACTTGAGGTAAATTGGGACTGATTTTATTGTTATATTGTTTTAACAAATGAAAAGTGTAATCAGGTGATTTTCAAATTGCCAAATCATAGTACGCTAATAAAGTTCTCACTTCCAATAATACTTCCAATAAGTCCGCTTGACTACGATTCAAAACTTTTATGTTCAAAGTAAATACATAAATTGTTAGGTAAATTAGTTTAACCCTAGGACTGCCTTGCGCCGTTTAGACGGTGTCTGATGTGTACTCTCGGTGCCCAAACGCCGTTTAATGGCGTTTCAGACATTTTTTCTTCAAACGCTTATTATGCAATGAAAATGATCCAGAAGCGTAATAATTTTGTTACCGTTAGAAAGAGGAGATTCTGAACTTTTATTTTCATATATAAACGAACCTCGTAGCAACAGCAGATCAATATAATTGCTATTATAATTTGACAATATTTTGAGCGCGTAACATTTTTGAGCCAGGACAAAAGGTAACTATACCACAATATTATAGTCATTCATAGTAATCCAGGGGCCATCAACATGGAATTTAATTTAGTATTGGTCGACCAGATGACAGTAAAAACACACGTGGTACGGCGCCGGCTGAGGGTTTGTCACAACTGTCACCTGCCGTCAGTGTTGACCCTACTCCAGTGTTATCCTTATCTCAATCCTTTGTTTTCAGTTTATTGTATATATGAATGGCGGTGTTGTAGATTATGTTTGATTCAAATGATAATTTTACTAAAGAATTATCTAAAAATTATGTGGTTGTGTATTTGAAAACAAACAATAAACTGTCTACCATCGTCAATGAAAGACACCTACCTAGAACTAATAAAATGGACAAAACAGGAATTTACAAACTAAAATGTGACGATTGTCCCAATTTTTACATAGGTCGAACTTCTAGATCTTTTTCCACCATGTTCAAGGAACATATGCCAAAGAAAATTCTAAATCAGCATACGCAAACCACTTAATTTCCTTCACCCATAATTACACTAATATTGACAATAATTTAGAGTTAGTACACCCCTGCAATAAAGGACGATACATGGATACAGTTGAGGAGTTTGAAATCTACAAGGCGTCAAAAGAACAATCACAGAATATAATAAAGGAATAATTATCATTCGAATCAAACATCATCTACAACACCACCATTCATATATATTATAATAAACAGAAAACAAAGGAACGAGATAAGGATAACACTGGAGTAGGGGTAGGCGTCAATGCTGACAGCACGTGATACGTCGCCGGCTGAGGGTGAGTCGCGACTGTCACGTGCTGTCAGCATTGACGCCTACGCCTACCCCTAGCACGTGACAGTCGCGACTCACCCTCAGCCGGCGACGTATCACGTGTGTTGTTACCGTCGTCTGGTCGACCAATACTAAATATTTCGTGTTTCCGTGTTTTATGTGTTTTGTTACCTATTTATTATTAAACATTTGACAAACTCCACTACGAGGAATACCCAATGATGACTACTTGACATTCTTCCGACCTGATGAAGTGCTCCTTTGAAGCATGAAACAGCTGTAGTCTCACATACTAATTATGATTGTTTTTTATAGTAACAAGGTAATTTAAACCACTATATAGTCTATGCAAACCATCGACTTTACCAAAATATTTTGTAGATATGTACCTATTCAATGCCATATGTATAGTTTTATTTTATTTTATTTACATGCTTCAATACAGTTTAAACACCATTTACATTGGAGCAGTTCATGCACTTATAATATTATTGCTTCAGTGGGTTTCTTCTTGTCTTTTCACTTCACTTTTACTTACACTTTCATGCTATGCATTTAATAATAACATAAAAACAAAATTATCAATAACTATAACAACAATGTATATATATTTAAAAAGATTAACAATGATAAATTATATAAATGAGTAGTAAAAATAAATAAAACAACAAAAAAAATTTATAGATTAACATTTACTGATTGATTAATACTGTTTTTAATTTTAATTTGAAATTGTTTATGTTGTCAGAGAAAATATTAATACTACTGCACTTTTTTATTACGAAATTGTAGTCTTTCAATAATCGATAGAGGGGGGAGGAGGCATGGGCAGTGGTGCGGCTGTAGGGCAACGAGAAGAGATGTTTGTTCCTACTATTGAAGCAGGGTACGCGATAAGACAGGCCGGCCAGGCTAGCAGCGTCGTCCAGCTCTCCACGCGCCAGTTTTTACAGGAACACCTGACCTATGATCGTTCTCCTCAGATCTAGACTCTGCAGCCCAAACAGTTGTAACAAGTCATGGTATATGGAACTTTGTACGTATAAATATTAAAACATTTGTAAAATAAGAATCTTAAAAACTTTTTCTGGACTTTCTCTAAAGCATCTTTAAACTGTAAATGATATGGATTCCAAATTATGGAACAGGTTTCTAATCTTGATCTGACCAGCGAATGATAAAGCATAATTAATGTTTCAATGTTTCTAAAATTTGTACTTTGTCTAACTATAAACCCCATCATTTTACTTGCAGCAGCAACACATGTTTCAATATGAAAATTAAAAGATAGTGCGTTCTTGTGGGAAAGATTTGAGACCAGTGATTACGTGTCTAAATACAAAGCTCTCCTAATTTTAAGTCAAATACTGTATAGAGTATGCATTTAAACCGTCTGTTTAAACGAGATTTTGGGGACGTCTGTTCAGAGGTGCCCATCCCCCCCAAACCCAGTGGCGCAATCCCCCCCCCATTTATGCTGCTCTGTATTTCAACCTACCCTCCCCCCTCCAATTTACCTGGCGATTTCCCCTTTACCACATAAAACGAGTATTTAGTAAACTTGAGGTAAAGAAAATAAAACTTGCTGATAATTAAAATTAAATTTTTATTAGGAAAAGTCATTTAACAATACAAAGTTATATCTAATTAATGGACGAATTATAAGTTTTTCAATTTACAATTATTAGAATCTGTATTATCAGCCAACACGAGCTCAGTATTAAGGGCAACGTCCAAAACGTTCAACAATATACTCAGTGAATTACTCTACTCCAACACAGTACTGTAACTGTACAATGTATTTAGGTGGTGTAAATTATTATTGGGCTTAAGAATTCAAATAACTTTAATTGCACGAATAGTAAAAAGTATCTTGTTTCAAAATTAGGTCACTAAATAGGGCAGACTTACGAGGCGTTGTTTGCCACTCCCAGGCTGCCTTCTACAATAATCGCCGGGCAAAATACCCACAATACCACAAAAGGTTTTGTGACGAGGTATAGTAATCTTATAATTCATTTTGATAGCCCCAGGTTTGCGTTTTATGACTAATAGTGATAATGTTTTGGCGGTTCTTTAACTCCACCATCTTCAGGCTTACAAAAGGATCCACTTTTGGAGGTTTCTTCAGAATATGTTACAAACATTAAACAAAAACACGAAACGATAACAGATAGGCATATCAATTCAAGGGGGTGCATTGCCGCGGGCAGAACTGGAAGTAAAGTGAATCAGGTTATGGATTATGGCGGACCGACGTGGTCTCTGGATTGTCGTCTGTGCTATCTACAACGATCACGTTATCTACAGCTTATATTGGACTAATTGTAGTGTAGTGACGGAGGAGCAGGAGAGTGTTGAAAATATAAAGGGATTCATAATTGAGTATTCCACTCAAAATTATTGACAATAATAACCAATTTATATATGCTGGATGTAAATGATGGTCTCAAAATTCTACATTACTGCGTGAAAGGAAATTTATTAATTACTTTGGAAGAGTTTGAAATATCTAAATACATAATACTAGGGACAGCACACAAATGTTTAATGAAAACATTTGATTAAATATGAATCCAATTATCTTTTCAACTTTCTTCTCAGTCACTTTCACTACAATAGTCCAATATCAGCTGTTGAAAACGCAGACGACAATCCAGAGACCACGTCGCCACGTCGGTCCATCATAACCTTAACCTGATTCAGTTTACT